GTCCTCAAGAACTCCAAGATCTTTTTCTTTTTCATTCCTGTTGAGCCACGTATCCCCCCCCATCTTGTATCAATGCACTTCGTTTCTTTTTCCTAGGTGAAGGACTTGGCACTTGTCCTTATTGAATCTTATTCCATTGCTTTCAGCCCAATATTCAAGCTTATCAAGATCACCCTGGTTCTTCATTCTGTCTTCTAGGGTGTTTGCTATTCCACCTAGTTTGTATCATCTGCAAATCTGATTATCTTTCCATTTACTTCCTCATCTAAATCATTACTAAAGATGTTGAGGAGCACTGGGCCCAGGACTGAACCCTGTGACACCGCACTAGTTACCTCCATCCAAATTGAGAAGGTGCCATTGATGAGCACTCTTCGTGACCGATTAAACAGCCAGTTTTGGATCCACCTAATAGTTTTTCCATCTAGTCCAGTCTTTGCTAATTTGCTAATCAGAATGTCATGTGGCGCTATGTCGAAAGCTTTGCTAAAGTCTATGTCCACAGTGTCCACAGTGCTCCCTTTGTCCATTTGGGAGGTTACGCAGTCAAAAAATGAGATTAAATTAGTCTGACAAGAATTGTTTTTGATAAATCCATGCTGGCTTTTATTAATCACTGCATTTTCTTCAAGATTCTTGGAGATGGATTTTTTAAATAATTTGCTCCAGAATTTTTCCAGGGATTGATGTCAGACTAACTGGTCTGTAGTTCCCAGCTTCATCTTTTTTTCCCCTTTTTGAAGACAGGGACAACATTAGCCCTCCTCCAATCATCTGGCACTTCCTCTGTTTTCCAAAATTTATCAAAGATAATTGCCAGTGACTCTGAGAGATCCTCCGCTAGCTCTTTTATAATTCTGGGATGGACTTCATCGGGCCCTGGAGATTTGAAAGTGTTTATTTAATCTAGGTATTCCTTGACCATTTGTCTGTCAATCTTGGGCTGCCATCTCTCATTTCCAGCTTGAACTTCCTCTTGATTGCAGATTTCCTTGTGGGAGAAGACTGAGGCATAGGTATTGAGTGCCTCCGCCTTTTCCTTGTCATTTGTTATCACTCTGCCATCCATTTTAAGTAGCAGGACACGCTTCTCTTTCTCATGTCTTTCTTGCTATTTGTTTATATTCTTCCTTTGTGGCCTGGCCCTGCTTCCACTTCCTGTACATGTTCTTTTCTTTCATGCTGCCACTTGACTTTTTGCGGAGCCAAGTGGGCTTCCTCTGCTGTCCTCTACACTTTTTTCTTGATGGAATTGTTCTTAGTTGTGCTTCGAGAATCTTCTTCTTCAAGATTCCCCATCCTTCTTGGACTCCTTTCCCCTTAAGGGTGTGTTGCCATGGCACTTCGCTTATCGTTTTTCTGAGTTCATTAAAGTTGGCTTTCTTGAAGTCCTGGAAGCTTGTTTGGCTCCAGTTACCCTTTGTCTCCTTTATAACTGAGAATTCAAGTATCGCTTGGTCACTTTTCCCCAGAGTTCCCATGGTTCATATTTTGTCTACCAGGCCATCCCTGTTAGTTAGTATTAAATTGAGGATAGCTGATCCTCTCCTGCCTTCCTCTACTTTCTACTAGAGAAAGTTGTGGGCAACAGATCTCAGGAATCTCTTGGAGGGGCCATGCTTGGCAGAATTTGTCTCCCAGCAAATATCAGGGAAATTGAAGTCCCCCGTGATGACTAGAGGGCTACCTTCCCTTCCCCTGGTCTGTCTCTCCCCTGCCCACCAACCTTGTGGTCATTTCCCACCTTTGATACATGTCCACCTGAGGCAGTACAAAGGGGAGACACAATAGGGTTGGAGCCACAAAACTTTCCTTCGGAATCCCCGATCTCTGGGAGGCCATGCGTGAGCAGAGCCGGATGGTGCTGGAGGTCAGACTAGATGGCCCAGGAGACCCCTTCTGACTCACTCTGTTTCTATGTTTCTATGTGCCTTACCACCCAGCTGTCCATGGGCACATGCTGAAATAAAAGTATGAGGACCCTGATGATTTGTGTTGCACCTGGATAAGCTGGCTCTTTGCCCAGCTGGCTTCACCTTCTCCTGCCCGCCATCCTTAAACATTTCTGCCAGAAGATTTTTTTCTGAAGTTAGATGTCTGCCTCTCCTGTTCCTACAGCCCTTTTCACAAATTGGAATGCCCTTTAAACACACACACACACATTTAGAGCATAACACGTGTGTGTTATTTTTGTCCTAAGGGCCTGGGACCCAGATAGTTTTGGTATCTAGTACTGCCCTCCCCATTTTCTTCAACTCTAAAACTTGACGTGCATCTCTGAAGGCTTCATTTCTGATAATGAAGTTTATTAAGCTACATGATACAAGCAACAAGCCGGGGTATTTGGGGGGTGTTTTGGCTCTATCCCTTCAGTTGTGTCTTCAAACCCATCCACCGCTGGAATACAACCCCCAAATGCATCTCCAAAACTGAATTCATGCCTTGAGCTGAAACAATCTGGGCAACACCGGGTGCTTTTAAGATTCATTTATTTCAGTGGAAGAGATTTAAACATGGGCTTTTAGTCTCCCAGTGCTCCACTGCACAGCACTGGTCTTTCAACGTGGGACCCACGTACCGGCATCGTGGATGTTCAGCATTTGTATTCCTGGCTAGCAAAAGACGCTGCTGCTGCAGGAGGATTCACCCCACTGAGAGATCTCTTTCTTTGGATAGCCTCTAGCTTGGGATTTTTCCAACTTGCCCCAGATAATATATATGGGGTGGGGAAGATTGGATGGGGGAAATCCCAAACCAATTTGAGAATTTGGAGTAATAGATTGTATCACATGCAACCTTCAAGAAATCATCTTGCATCTGGATGGACAATGACACGAAGATGTTGTGTTTTCCAGAAAAACACAAACTTCTCCTGGGGTCAGGTCTGTGTGTGTGTGGGGGCACCCAAGTATGCAGAAGGAAACAAAAGGCAGTCACTCAAGGGAACCCCAGATGAAGAGGTTGATGATCTGCCTGGCTGTCCACAATATTCTACAAGAAAAAGGAGAGAAGGAAGTTTCATCAGTTGCTTGGATGGCACATTTTCCGGCAGCACAACATGAACTGAACAATCAGGAAGGTTAGAATATAAATGAAATAAACCAAATGACAGGTTGGTTTCCCAGTAGGAACCACACACTTCCCCACAGACGATGGTAGCATTGTTTTTTTAAGAAGTCTTTGACCAAGAGCTGCTTAATAGATACTTAAGATTCCTAATCCTTGTATACTGTATCACATGCTTTATCTGATTGTCACTTTTACAACAACCCTGTAAGGCAGAAGTGGGCAACACATGGCCTGGACCACATGTGGCCCATGATGCCATCTGGGGCAGCCCCACCAGCTTCAATTTCAAACTGAGATGCTCCTGATGAAGCTCAGAGAAACATCTCTTGCCACCTACCAGAAAGAAGTATATACAAAGCAGAGGCTGGACCAAAAAAACATTCTTAGGAAAAGAAGTGAGTAGGAAGAGCTGGAAGCCAGTGCTCTGGTTTCTAGCACAAGTATGGTCAAGCTTTTGAAAAGGGTGGGGAGTTTTGGTGGTTCCAAAGGGAGCTGTCTAGGAGACCTGCATTTGGAATTCCCTAGGATGGAGAGGGCAGTACTAGATATCAAAAGTATGACTTTTGCCATAGAGCTTGGTTCACATTGTATGGGCTGTTCACATATATAGGTGGCAAATCGTGGGCTAAATAACCCATGATTTGTCATAACATGAGGCAGGCACATTCTGAAACCTTTTTGAACATTTTAGCCCCAATCAGGGGTTGCTGCACAACATCTAAACACAGACACTATAGGTTAATTATGAGATAAACCATCAATAGTTAATCTAACTACTAACTGTAGATTAAGTCTGAGTTGTTCAACCCATGATTAACTTATAGTATCTGGCTTCGGAAATCCCATGGCAGCCCCCAGTCAGTCTGGTTGGGGTCTGAATATTCAAAGTAGCCACTGAATGAACACAGCACACGCTGCAGCAACTCATGGGTTAATTATCCCACAATGTGTCACCATCACATGTGAACTGGATCAATCTCTAACAGAAGTCTTCACCCTCCAGATGTTGTTGGCTCCAGTTCCCATGAGACAACATTGCTAATAGTCAGCATGATAGAAGTGGTAGTCGGATGGCCTCTGAAGAATCATACAAGTTTGCGATCCATAAAAGCTTCTATAAATACAGCCATTGACCACAGGGCTAACGAGGGCAGGGAACCTCATCTGGCTCCTTGCGATACAAACTCAAGGTCACAGATCGTGCAGATTAATGCCTCCTAGCCCATTTCAAGCACAGTTTTATAACTACAATTTGGGCTACTAAGAAAGTACAAAAGAGGATACATTTTCCATTCCTTAACGGGATGTTTTTTGCTCAGTATGTCTGTTCTAATCAATCTGAGTGACAAGACAAATGATAATTATTCCCAATTACTTAATTCAGGATTTAAAAAAAATGTGAGTAAAGTATGGAGGCTTCTTCAATGGCTTCTTTTAATTCTTTTTAAACTGCCTGAACAGCAAAGGGATGCACATAATCATTACTGATAGCTGAATCCTTCCCTTGGAAGGAGTGTGCCAAAATCAGAAGCTAGACAGTGTGCAGAGCAACTGTCCAGGAGGGATTTTCAGCTGGCTTTTAACGACCGGCATAACCAAATATGGGGTGATCCATATGCATGTGTATATGGGAGTAGTGGCTGGGCCAAAGTAACCCAGTGAATTCATGGCTGCTTGGGCACTAGGACCCAAGTCCAGGTTCAATAGGTTTTCCACCTCAACAGAATGCTGTGTACAGCTTTGTCTATTGTTCCTAGTAAATTCATCCTATTGGGTTGATTTAACTGTTCTATGAATGTCACTCACACAGCTCTGTTCTTGGGAAGATGACAGGTTAAAAGCAGTAACACACATTCACACACACAGAGAGAGAGAGAGAGATTAGATGAAGCAGATATACACAGGCCTATCCCACCCTGAGCTCAGGTGGATTATGGCTCTGCTGCAGGCTTCTTGTTGGAGTCATGGAGGCAGTATAAGTTGCTCTCCTCATCACCAGGCACCTGTGGAGAGAGAGCAAAACACATACCGTGTCACAACAGCTCATCCATCCATCCATCCATCATAATGAATCGCTCCTATACCCCTGGAAGCAGTGGAAACTGAGAAAGACAAAAGGCAAGCAGAAAGCAACCCTTAAAGGCAAGGGCTTCAAGAATATGCAATGGATTCTTCATAGCGCAACCAACAGCACCACCTAGTGGCAGACTGAGCATATTGTAGCCCACGCCGGAGATGGCCGAACCCAAGTCTGCCTGCATAGATTTTTATCCTAATTGGAATGCACCATTCATATCTTGGGAAGCTCAGTTCACAGAGAAACTATTTTCCCTTAAGGCAAAATGGTGTGTTTGTAAGACACTCGGAAAGCCCTTCTTTGTTTTAAGAGTGCTGCACAAATGCTCTAAACAAAGAATCGAATGCTTAACCAGCAGCTGCAGGTCTTAACTTAGGGAGAGGCATGTTCAGTTGTAGAACACATGGAAAAGGTTGCAGGTTAGGGCACTTCTGGAAGGGCCAAGGAAGGACCCTCTTTGCAACCCTGGAGAGAACACAGGCAGTTCAGGCAGCTGTGAAGTGGCTGCAAGGACAGAACAGGGTGAAAGCGATAACAGGAAAGCCAGACGGAACTCCTTTGGCCACCTCCTTAAGGTAATATAAGCACAAGCCTTGCACCTGATATCCCCTAAATTCTCCTGAGATTCTCAAAACCCCTATGAATGAGGGGGGAAATGACTGCCTCTTTTGCAGGGATGCAAAGAGATGGCAAAAAAGCAACTGATGTTTTGGTACTAAATTTACTAAAGTAAATTGTCCTCCAACTACTAGATGATATCCTAATGCGATGTCCCACCGATTCCTAGACTATATCACTGTGCTGTGCATTCACATAGAAAGCGCCAATTTGCTCCATTTCTGCATCAATCTGATATTTATGCAGGCAGGGAAATTTAATCTGCACAAAAGTGTGCAGTAATATATATTCTGATCTCTCAAAATTTGCATTTCTAATTATAAATGTTTATTTTAATGCACATTTCTGAATTGTTTTTCTCATGCACATTTCTAAATGTACAATCTAATGGGGGCTTTTTGAGCGGAGGATGAAGTGGAACATTCAGGTAATGTGAAAGCCAGTGGAAAATGGAATTCTGATTTGCAACGTTAGTCCACAGGTCAGTTGTATCAAAATTCACAAAGGGAGAATTTTCCCCAGAAGGTCTGCAGCACTTACCTCCCAATAAACATTGTCCTCAAAGCAGTTTTCATCTGTAGGATCACCAAAGAAGGGCAATTTCAAAATGCCACCTTAAAGGGAAGAAAATAAAGCATGTTTATTCAGCCTTCTTCTGCAGTCCTTTCATGCTCCCATCCTTGCAATCCAGATTTGCTTAAACTAACTTTGCTTAGAACAAACCATTGTTTCCTCAGTCCCATATGTAACACAAAACTCTGGTTGATTTGAAGTGGAAACTTTCACTCTCCCTCTTCTTATTCATAGAAGAGGAAATGGATAGAAGGGAAGCATGTGACTTTCAGGCTTACCAGAGGATCCTCCTGATCATAAATTATGGTTTAGGCCTTCAGGTGGGCAACCTGTTGACTGTAGGCCTAATTCCATGCATATCTTGGCATAACTGCAAAAGCCCCCTGTAAACTATCTGTTCGGACCTTGGACAATAGCAATCATTCTCCCCACACACCACCTATGGGAGGGAAGGAAGGAGGAGATGAAAGAGAAGTAGGTTGCAGAGGAAGAACAAGAGAGAGAAGAGGTCATGTCAGAAAGAGAGAAAGGGGCTGCCTCTGTCCATCACATGCATGAGCCCCCAAGTGTAGCCCTCAACAGAAAAATGCTTCCACAACCAGGCAATACTCTGAATTGGGTGTAATAATATATCTATTACTAGGGTTCAAAGACATGCCTTGTAGTTGCTGTTTTCCTGCAAACAAAAAAACAGCAACCACAGCTTAGGTATGGGCATATATGTGCTCTGGCTTGCTCTTTTCATGCTGTTCTTTTTAATCCTACAATCTGACAGGTCCATCTTCTTTTCCCTCCCCACTGGTCTCCTAACTCTGGCCAAGAGTCTGTTGGCTGATGCAGAAGCAACCTCTGCTGAAATCCATAGGGAGATTCCCTTGCAGTCCTCAGCTTTGCAGGATCCCTAAGAGCTCATTTGAGAGGGCAAACCCTGCAATGTTCCTGGCCACAGGCTAAACATGAGCCAGCAGAGGAAGAACACCACCCTTGGATGCATAGCCAGAAGCGTGTGATACCTAGATCTAATATCTAGATCAAGAGAGGTGTTACTGCCTCTCTATCCAGCTCTGGTGCATCTGCAGCTGGAATATTGTATTCAGTTCTGGACCCCTCATTACAAGAGGGGTATAGGAAGGTTGGAATCAGTGCAGCAAAGGGCCTCTAGGATGGTGAATGGTTTGCAGGAGAAGCCCTGTGAGGAGAGACTGAGAGAGCTGGGTCTTCTCAGCCTTGAGGGGAGGGGACTCAGAGGGGACCTGTTAGTGACACAGGTATGTGAGGAGGTGCTACACAGAGGTGGGTCAAGACCATTTTCCCCTGCAGTGGAGGGCAGGATGTGTTCCAATGGAGCCAAGCTCAGGAAACCAAGATTTAGCGTGGATGCCAGGAAGTACTGCCTGACAGGGTAGGGAAAGGGCTTCCACGGGAGGTGGTTGAAACCCCAATGGTGAGGGTGTTCAAGGACAGGCTGGACATGCACATGGTAGGCATGTCGTAAGTGGAGCCAGCTGAAGCTGGGGGTCAGACTAGATGGCCCAGGAGACCCCTTCTGACTCAGTCTTTCTGTTTTCTTACTGTACTTCAACTTTCCACAAGATGTCAGCCATAAAACATGTCAAACAAGAAGGGCTGTATATTTAAGAATGGGTGAGAGGTCCATTTCCATTTACTTCTGATAAGAACGTACTAGATTACATAGTCACAGCTGGCCCCTTCTCCCTATCTCTACATACTGGGTTAGAGTGATCAGGATGACTTCCTTACACAAGGGACACTGGAACTCAGGCTAACCAAAGACTTCTGGCTCACTGAGAAAAGAGGGCAAGATGAACATGCATCTGTACCAAATCATGCTTGGCTCCTCCTCCTACTTTGGGAATGGGAGAACTTCCTCCCTCACAACCAAAAGTAGCAGCTACTTTAAGGGAGCAGGATGGGCACACCACACAGCTTATGGTCTCCCCTCAGAACATCTGACACCTGAAGCAGTTGCCTCGCTCTGCCCAATGACAGGGCCAGCCTGTGGTAACACGGAGGAGGAAATGTCCAAGCACATCCGGCTCACACTCGCAGGAGGTTGCGACCCAGCTCAGACTGCCTGGCTCGCTAAGCCAGCTCTGTCTGCCTTGCTTGCCACCACTGCCCAGGGTCTCAGACAGAGCACAGGTCACCAAGGGCTGTTTAATCCATGAAGAATCCAGAGTTTCCAGGGTTGGGTGTCATGCAGTGACCTACAGCCCCAGGTGGAGAATGGTCTTTTCCTCCAGCCCCAGCCTGGTCCTTTAGACATAAGATGCAAAGATGACCCTGGAGAGAGGGCCTTCTGGCACCACAAGCAGACCCTGCTCTGCTCACCGACAAGGGCTCCTCCTGCCAAGGCCATGCCCAGTGACACAGCAATGCCAGCTGCCTGGAAGCCACCTTGAACGCTCGGCGTCCGAGCACTGTAGTCGCCCACAAAATCAAAAGCACGGATGAGCCTGTGATGGGAAGGCAAGCAAACAGAATGAGGAACAAGTGAGGCTTCCTGCTGTGCCAACAGAAAACATGACCCAAAGCTCCTTCAGAGTCACCTTTGCCAGGTCCACCTGTGGCTCCCTTAGATGGTGAGCCATTGGCTAACATAGGACAAGCAGACCATGCAGCCTAGTCTCACATGGTCCAGGCAGCAGGGCCTCTGGATTAGCAGGCATGCAGGTGGCATCTGCCTGGCCCTTGGCCTCAGAATTCCTTCTCCCCTCTGCGCTGAGCACCCGTCCTCACAGTAGCCTGGGCAGTGGGGGACGCAGGACAGGCCTTGAGGAGAGCTATCCTTGTTCTAATGAAGTATTTTCGGAGGGTCGCTTCATCTTGAAAGGGTAACCAAGACCCACTAGCTAAACAAAAGACAGTACAGTATAAGAAAGGAGGGTGAGGATGGATGGATGAATTGATCAATATGGATCAAATGATCAGTATGGGTTCCTGCATTTTTCAGCCCTCGCTAGGGACTATCATGATGAATTTCCAAATTTACCACAAACACTAGAGGTGGGTTTTTCAGATGCTTTGAACTACAGATTCCATCAGCCCCAGCCAGCCATAACCCCAGTAGAGGGGTTATGGGGTGTAGTTCAAGGTGCCTGGAGGATGTCAGTTTGCCTTCCTGGATTATGACAATGCTATTGCCTAAAGGTATCCAGGTACCCTTCACTAAAAAAGCCAATTGCTTAGCAGAAGGGATGAGTTAAACACACACACACACACACACACCAAGTGACACCGGTCACTCTGTAAATTATACATCCTACAATGCTATTCCCCCTCCCCATCATTCCTACATCTCTCGAGCACATCAAGCACAGCCCCCCTCCAGAGACACCTCCTCACCCCTCCTTTCCGTAGACCCCCTCGGTGGCAGCAGCAGCGGTGACAGCCCCCACGATGCCCCCGATGATCCCTGGCATGCCATGGAGGTTGTGGATGCCACACGTGTCTTGGATGTGGAGCCTGGACTCTAGGAAAGGCTAGTAGGACAGACAGGAGGACAAACACAGAAATTTGATAGTGACCAGTCGGAAACTGTAACTAAACATTTCTGTGTGGAAATGTTGGGATGTTTGCTAGCCAGCCAGCCACACCCTCTTCCATTCTGTTCCACCTGATTTTCTCTTTGGTTTTGTTTTGTGTTTTTTTTTCTGCTTCCTGGCTTTCTGTTTCCATCTCCCCCCACCCCCTGCCTAATAGCCATTCTGCATTCTTAGGTTAGAAAGCAGAGTTTTTTCACTCCTCCTTAGAATGTACCTTCTAAGGGCTTGGCTCGGCTCGGCTTGGCAACAGCTCAGACCCCAGAGAGCAAGAGCCCCCTGGACTTCCTCCTGCTCTTCATCACTATACCCTGCATGATTCCTCTGCCCCTTCTTCCAGCCCAGACAACATTGTGGTGAGGAGGGTTCGCAGATGCCGTGTTCTGCTTCCTCCCTGCTAGGCAAGCAACTCCTGGCAATGAGGAAGAAGAGGAGGCGGGGCAACAGCAGCCAGTGACCAATGGCCGTGAGAATACTGGCTCAGGGAGGGAGGGAGAGGTTCTTAAGGAGCCTCATTCCCAAGGGCCACCCAAAGCCTGAAGCTGGCACTGGCTGCCAGCTGTTGATCCTGAGAGCAGCCAGCCAGGAGTCACCCTTGAGTCATGGTGCTAAGCTAAGCTTTCTTGCTTCTGGCTAGCTTAGCTGGAGGGGGACACAAAGACACAAGAGGCACCAGCTGCAAGCTAGGATTCTCCGGAATGCTGGCTAAAGCGAAGAGGGGTCCTGATTTCCTGGCTCAGGGGATCCAACGACCCAATCACTGCAATGTTTGCTCATGGGTGGGCGTTACAGGTCAACATTATTGGGCTACTGCTGAGGCTAACAACCCAAAGAAGGTCCCACCTTGATCTGACCCCCCAGTCCCTGGGGGAATGGCACCTGATGCAGAGAAAGGGGCTCTAAAGCATCCAGAGATGCCCTTACTGTGAGGTAGACGAACCCAAAGGTTGACACGATGCCACAGATAAAGCCAACAATGAGAGAGCCATATGGGGTCAGCATCATGTCCGCAGATGTGCCTACTGCCACACCCCCAGCCAGGGTGGCATTCTGGATGTGGACCTGTGGAAACACCAATGGCCATTCAGTGCAGAACTGTGCAGACCACTTTCTCCTGCCTGTGTACAACAATACCTTTGAAACATGGTGCATTTACAGTGCTGCCCTCAGAGGCTTTCCCGCTAAGAGAGGCCCATATCGCCTGCCCCAGAGCCCTAGACTGACAGTCCCACTGCTGGTCTGTGCAACCCAGATCGCCAGAAGAGGGGAAACACATCATTCCAAGAAAGGGGACAAAGGATAACACTCATTTGCATGCACGGAGTGTAGGCAAATCTGTATGTGCAAATTAAACACAATTTGTTACATACCATCAAGTCTTCTCCGACTTATGGAGACCTAGTGACCAAACACCCTGCAAATTCTCCTTCCTCCCAGCCCTGCTCCGCTCTTGTGAACTCAAGGCTGTGACTTCCAAGCATAATTACTACAATTTAAATAGATTTTCTTTGCTCAGTCTCTGCTGCTCAGGTAATTACTGATGGGATAATTTATATGCCATAGTATCCTTTCTTAGGATTTTTCATCTAAATTGGAATTGGACAAGGGAAAGGCCAACCTAGCATGCACACACAGGCCGGAAGGACAGCTCTTTCTTTTCCCCTTCATTGTCAGAAAGAACACCTTATCAAAACTTTGCAACTACGAGCCAGTACCTAAGTTTTTCTTTCCTTCCGCTTCCTCTTCCCTCCCTATCCCCTTTCCTTTTGTGCCATATCTTTAAACTGTAAGCCCGAGGGGGCAAGGACTGTCATATTAATCTTTGTAAGCCTCTGAGAGAGCTCTCTTCTGTACTGAAGGGTGGAACTGAAATGCGTTAAGTCAATCCTTAAATAGATGCGACACGTGCAGCAACGGAAGAGGCGTGTGGAAGTCAGCCAGGGGTCCCAAGCATGCCGTGGGCGCTGTGGAAGGTGCCAGACCTTACTCACCATATTCAGCTTGCCTTTCTTTTGCAAGAGGCTGGAGGAGGCCACTGAGGTGAGGACGCAGGCAGCCAGGGAGCAGTAGGTATTGATGGCAGCTCGGTGCTGGCCGTCCCCATGACTGGAAATGGCTGAATTGAAGCTGGGCCAGTACATCCATAAAAATAATGTGCCTGGAAGGGGAGGGGAGGGGAGGAGAAGGCATTTACTGCATCAGACTAAAAGCTAATGGTCTCTTGAAATCCTCCATTTGTTGGCAGAGGAATGGGAGGAAGGGATCATTTTGCCAGATCAATGCAGGGAGAGGAAAAATTCTCCAACAGTTTCTTGAGGTGGGACTCACCATTAGCTGTGGTTGGGGCACCTCTACCTTTGGCTTAGCCTGCCTCTTCTTGCTGCTGCGGTTTGATGGCGCTCAACATATGCCCCAGACCATTCCATGCCATTCTGTGTCAGAGGGCATGAACCACTTTAGCCCCAGGGCAGAATTCAATTTCAAGGAAGCTTGGTGGGGCTGGGAGGCAGAGACTACATTGCGGCTAACAAACCACTAAGTGTCAGAGGTTGGGGGAAGGAACTGAGACCAAAGAAAACAGCACATCTGGAAAGCTCTGGAGGTTCAGACTGTCACCCCAGGTAGGCTAGATCTGGTGCTTATGTGAAGGACAGCAGCTACCACCTTTTCAAAAAAGAGTAATAGTTAGCGTTGGGGGGGGGGTGTCTGCCAGGGACAGGGAGGAGTGAAACATCACAGAATGCGTCTCACAAAATAGTATCTTCTAAGAAATTCTATCCCAGCCCCACATCAGGCCAACATCTGGCTCACCATTCCAGGTGCAAGAATAACTCCCCGCAAGGAACAATACGATGCATGTTTCAACAGGAAAAATCAACAGTCTTTGCAGAGTTCAGATGCAGTCTGTGTCTCTGTGCACAGGCATGTAGTTTGGGGACATCTTTGTGGAAATAGCAGGCTGCCCCTTAATTCTGAACACGGGCTAGGAGTTTGTGTGGTTTTTAAAAGGGGAGATTCTCAGGATTTCAGGTTGTGTGTGCGCATGCATGTGCGTGCTCGGTGTGGGGGGGATCTTATTGAGGATTAGATTTGTTGCTTTCTTGGCATATACTTGTCTAAGAGCAAGCAACTCTATCAATAACAGAACACCTGCTCATGAGAGCTAACCAAGAAGTCTGATATTGTTCATCTTTTGAACGTGTCACTTCTTCTGAATCTTTTGCCTAGACTATTTGCAGCTATGTTACAGGGGGATAGAAACATAGAAACAGAGCGAGTCAGAAGGGGTCTCCCGGGCCATCTAGTCTGACCTCCGGCACCAGCCGGCTCTGCTCACGACATGCCCACCATGTGCATGTCCAGCATGGGCCACTTCAGCTTCTGCTCAGTAAGTATGGCCACCAGCACAGAAGCTGAAGTTGCTTTTTTTCCGGAGGAGTGGAGAAGAAGCACCAAAACCAAAACAAAGCTCACCAATCATAGCAAAGAGGTCCGAGTGGTAGACAGATTCCTGCTTCTCTTTGGTCTGTTCCAGGTTGGGCCGGTACAAAATGGCAGTAACTGTGAGCCCAAAGTAAGCACCAAATGTATGGATAGACATGGATCCACCAGCATCTTTGATCTGATGAAAAAGGAAGATTCAGCACCGGAAACATTTCACATAGGAATGATGGGAGGTGTTCTACCAGAGCCTCACTCAGATGGGTTTCCCAGCTCAGTTAGAAGCAACTAGGATTCTGTGCTGTGCTGCTCTGGATCGTCGGGCCAAAGATCGAGCTAATCCATCTAGCAGCTCTTGCCCGCCCCCCAACCCACCACCCATAACAGCCTGTGGGTGGTTTCCTGGCTTTTGTGCGAGTTCCTCAACCACACAGACACACATGTTGTAAATGGTTGAAAGTCCTCTCCATGATGTTCAGTTAGTGGTGGATGAACAGTCTGCTGGGATTCTGTTTCCACCCACCAGTGGAATGCAGCCCCCAAGGGCTTCTTTCAAATGAAATTCAGCCTGAAGCTGAGAGCAGTTTCAAACCCCTGATCTGCCTGAACCAGAAGAAGCCAGGAGAGCAATAGGAGCCTTGAAATTATCCATCAATGGTTGGGCCCTGGGCAACTTTCTAAATAAGTGCAGAAGCCACCTGGGATGGTGAGAAGCATTGTGCTTCTGTTGAAATTATAGTAATTCTTTCTAAATCTGCATCTACAGTATTGCAGGTAGAGCTCTCACGCAGGGCTTTTCCGCACTAGAGGCATCCGAGAAGCAACTGGACAACCATCTGAGAGGGACTGTTCAACTTGGAGTCCTGCACTGAGTGGGAGTTGGACCTGATGGCCCTCTGGCACCTTCCCACTCGATGATTCTAAGATTCTATGCCTATTCACATAAGCAAATGTATCTTCAGGCCATGCTGACATATCCAAAGTATTGTATTTCCAATCATTATGTATGAGTATGAAGGCTGGACAGTGAAGAGAGCTGACAAGAGGAAAAACGATCGATTTGAAAGACGGTGCTGGAGGAGAGCCTTGCAAATACCCTGGACCGACAGAAAGATAAGCAAGTCCTAGAGCAAATCAAACCAGAACTTGCCCTGGCACCAAAAATGACAAAACCTAAGCAGTCATATTTCAGGCACATCATGAGAAAGCATAGCTCACTGGAGAAGACAATCATGCTGGTGAAAGTCAAAGGCAGAAGAAGAAAAGGAAGACCAGAGAGGAGCTGTATTGATGCTATAAATCCAAAGCCCTGAGTTTAGAAGAGTTGAGCAGGACCATTAATTACAGGATACTTTGGAGGGCATTAATTCACAGGTTGCCATAAGGCACAGGCAACTTTCTGCCATAACAACAATATTTTTGTTTTGTCCTTGTTATTGGCAAGGCACAAATGGCCACTGGACACCTTGGTTTGGTTGGTAGGTCTTCAGGTTAAATTAAATTTAAAAATAGTAGATCCCCTAAGTCTGATGTCTGCCAACTAGTTTTATGTTGCCCTTTTACTTTTATAATAAAAATTTTAAAAATCTGTGAAGTTTTATTACTTATATATGTTCACTTTCTCTCTTAGTGATCACAAACTTTGGACTTGCTCAACAATTTTAAAAGACTCTCCGAATGGTGCACCACATAATTGGGATTGTGTGAGGACTTTTTTGCTTATCTGTGGTGGCAGATATCACAAAAAGTATGCACAGAGGGGTTTTTGTGGTTTTGGTTTTGCTCTTGGTTTTGGTTTTGCGTATCAGCTTTTGCTAGTGTTTGTGTATTTAATGTGCGGCCCAAGACCATTTTTCTCCTTCCAGTGCAGCCCAGAGAAACCAAAAGGCTGGACACCCCTGGCTTAGACTGTGAAAGCGAAGGCAGAGGTTGCATCAGCTTACGTGCAGCAGATCCAGCAGGATGTACTCGTTCACCGAGAAGAGGGTCACTTGGAACAAGGTCATGACGAGCACTTGCACAGGGCTGACTTTACCCAAGAGGGCACCAAAGGCAATGCAAACTGACCCCACGCAGAAATCCGCATCGATCAGGCTAAGAGGAAGAAGAGTGTCAGGGTGTAGTCAAGCCACACGCACCTGTACATTGCATAAGCTGCAGCCCTTGCAGGAGCAGCAGACCCTCTCCTTCCCAGGGAAATTGGGATAACCAAACAACCACAGCAGATCTTTACTTTGCCTGACCTCCCTTTCCTCTCCCTTTCCTTCCCTCATTCTTTGGTTCCCCCTGCTGTCAATGTCTATTTTGTAAGTGCCTTGAGGGTAGAGACCTATATTTCTGCCTTATCATACTCATTTTGCTTGATTAAGGGTTCTGTGAAATAGCAAAGCTTGCATGTCTTTTAGCACCATAAAAACTAAAAGATTCCATCTCAAACAGTGCCCACTTTCTAAATTTGTAATTGTACATTAAAATAGCACAAGCCTTGCCTCTTTTCTTCCATTGATCATATAGTATTCCTACTGTATATGCTAACCAGAAAATTGATTTAGCAAGGTCCAAATGGGCAATCTTACCTTTCCACTCCAATGAGTATCTTTCCATGCTGAAAGGTATGCAGCCAGCCCTGCATCAGGAGAGCCCACTGGATCCCAAAGGCAGCCAGAAGGAAGTTGAACCCGACAGCTCCAAAGCCATAACGTTGGAGAAATGTCATGAGGAAACCAAAGCCCACAAAAATCATCACATGGACATCTTGGAATGCTGCAACAAAGATTCCACTCAAGCTGATTCAGATATGCCTGTTTGCTCCCATCCTCATCTCACACCTATTTTCATATCTAGCTAGCAACTCACTGCCCACTGAGGACTAGTGCACCAGTGCACTCTGCACTTGACCTTGAGGACATAAGTGAAGCTCTGCTGGATTAGACCAAGGTTCCACTAGTCCAAATCCTTCTTCCACAAATAGGACCACCATAAGGTAAAGGATTCTCCTTGACGTTAAGTCCAGTCATGCCTGACTCTAGGGGTCATGTGGCCGGCATGACTAAACACCAAAGTGCACGGAACACTGTTACCTGCCCACCGAAGTGGTACCTTTTTATCTACTTGCATTTGTGTGCTTTTGAGCTGCAAGGTTGGCAGGAGCTGGGACAGAGCAACGGGAACTCACCCCGTTGTGCAGATCCAAACCGGTGACCTTTCGATCAACCAGCACAGCAGCACAGCAGTTTAAACCACTGTGCCACCTGCATCCCCCAGGACCACCATAGGATAATGCTTAAACCCACTGGGTTCAGACAACATGGTAACCCATACTTCGGGGTTATGTATGGGATGAGTGTAGGTTATCATTGAATTATGGATTGTTCAGTGGTTTGCTGGACATTTGAGCTAACTCAGGTACACAGGAAACAGTAATATTCACCCCATACCCCTGGTGGACATCTCTATCCTTGGAACAAAACAAGGTTATAGATCTCCAGGAAATCTTCTAGCTATTCATTTTCCCAATAGACAAATTGGACCCAGTGATGTAAAACGAAGCTTGGCAATTGTCAGAGGTCCAGGAAATCCTTAGGCAGGTGAGCAGGATAAAGCTGCAAGGTTTCCTCCATCACTGGCCTGGGAATCCCCTCCATACAACCAAGTTAACAAGCATGTACGTATAGCCATAGGCTAAATGGCTGGGTTGAAAAGAGGGTGGACTGCGCAAGTCAAGACCGATTACATTCCTTATCTGTCCCATCCCTAGAACCATGCAATCAGCAAGTTATAATATGCATTCATGCCAGAAATCACACAGAAACCATAAAAATGATCCCACATCTACTTAAGGTAACAATGTATGACTCACCAAAATAAGTAAACTGTGTCACCCCACAAAGGTACATGAATTTTCATAAAATCTACATATTCTGATTCTCATGCAAATAGACCCTCCTCTAATTGAAGATAGCTTGTTTGGACAGCTGTCCTGTCTATGCCCAAGTTAAAGATAAGGAACCAGAATATAATGCATGGGCCTTGAATTTCCCCACCCACAGTTAGCACCCAATGAGCACATAATAATTTCTGGATATCCAAATTATAACTGCTATTCCTTTGTAAGTGATGGTTATTTTGAGGGCGTTCACCTATTAAAAATAGGTGAACCATATCCAGGACCAGCCTCGGGGGAGGCCAGATCCAAGCAGGGGCCCACTGACAAGAGCTCTTCCTCTTTGCCACTGCAGCCTGCTTGTTCACCTGCCTCCTACTCTGGCCTAGACAACGGTGGTGGCTGTAGAGAGAACAAGGAGGTGCTCAGCCTATATGCTCGCTCACTTCTGCCCATCAAACCAGCAAGTGGTAGCAGTGGAGCAGAAGAGAAGAGCAGCAGCAGCAGCTGGTGACCATGGCAGGGAGAAAACAGGAAGAGCGCCCAGTGCAGCGTCTTGTCCAAAGGGCCCTCAGCAACCTGGAGCCAGCACAAGCTGCGTCAACTCTTCCTTCCTCGCACATGCTAAGCTCTTCTTGGCCCAAAGTTACTCAGTAAACTTCATGCTGAGAAGGGATGGAGCCTGGATCTCCTGGGTCCCCAGTCCAGCACCCGGCCTCTACGCACTCTGGCTTTGCAGATGTCTAAGGTGGAGTCCAGAAATGATTGAGCAACCTTCTGCACCTATATCACACATTTGTACATAGACTTCCCAGGGGAGGACCAAACACCACTGCTGTCATTCAGAGACGTTTAATGATTAAACTGTGCCTGGTTTAATCCAGGATTTTTCTTGCCATGGAACTGGGGAGCAATCTTTCAGAGACTGATGGAGCTGGGCGATTCTCATCTCAAAGTAATGTTTAATGAAATGAGGCTTCTTGTTTACTAAACGCAAGGGGAAAGTGCCTCTTTCCCAAGCTCAGCTGGCTGGGACTCAGTTAACAGCAAAGTGTCGGGGACGTGCTATAATTGTTGGGCACCTGGAAACACTTGGTGTAGGGCAGCTAACAGGAAAACATCACCCCTGCCACTGGGGTCCAGCAGCAACATCCCATAATTTAGGCAAGCCTCACTGCGGTGCCACAGTCAGTACAATGACGGAAGCCCTACTTGTGCCTAGAACTCCATCACCTTTTTCTAGTTAAGTGCTTCATATCTTAAAGCTCTGAGGACCACGTTCATCTTTTCCTCTTCACTTCTCCTCTTCATCTTTTCCAACACCTCTTGGGTGTTGGACTATAACTCCCATCATCCACCTCCAGAAGAACAGGTTGTTCTGCAAATGTTGTATTAACTGCCTACAGATAGGAGTTATAGTCCTTCACCTCTGAAGAGCTCCATGTTCTGGAAAGATACGACCTGGCCATTCCTGTATTGGTCTTTTATATTTCCATCCTGCTTTGCCCTCCAAGTAACAGAAGACAGCCTACAGGATCCTCCTCCTCTCCATTTTATTATCACATCAGCCCTGTGAGGTAGGCTAGGTTGAGAATCGGTAACTGGTGACTGGTCCTGTTGAGTTTCATGGTTGAGTGGGAATTAGAACCCAGGTCTCCTTATTCCTAGTCCAGCAATCTCACCAATGCACCACCCCAGATCCAGGTGCTCATTATTAACTTGGTGGAACTTGATATCAACACAGAAACATAGAAACAGAGCGAGTCAGAAGGGGCCTCCCGGGCCATCTAGTCTGACCCCTGGCTCCAGCCGGCTCCACTCACGACATGCCCACCATGGGCACGTCCAGCCTCTCCTTGAACACCCACACCGATGGGGCCTCAACCACCTCCCGGGGAAGCCTATTCCATACCCTTGGGGTCCTAACTGTCAGGAAGTACTTCATTAAAAATGTTTTAATGTTTTGATCATTAGAAATGCTTTAACGATCCAAGCTACTAGTAAGCAATTGGCTCTGCAAGGATGAAGGATGCCGATCAGCCCCATGTCCTGGACAGGCCTGATGACCTCCTCCTTATCGCATGTCCAGCACTCCAACACAGGGGTGCCCTTGGGGCCACTTTGGGGAGCCTGAGAAATTGCTGTGAGCAGCACAGCCACCCCTGCTGAGGATGCGGCAGCAGTGTATGGCTATGATGGACCTGACCAGTCAAGGAGTACGAGTCTGTGAAGCCGTGATCAGACAGTGAGGCTGGGAAGGAGGGGAAACGAGGAGTGTTGCTTCCGGACCACCCAGCCTCCTTCCCTCCACGCAGACTTTTCTCTCCTCTCTCCCCCTGCTAATTTGAGCCTCTAGCCTCACAATTTCTCGACCACAGCCCCTCTTCTGTTTTCCACCTTTCCCCATCCCAAACCTTCTTTCTCACCCTTCCTATCTCCCAGGCTTGCTAATGTGCCGCTCTCCACTTCTTAACATCACCATTTCTTCCCACCCTCACCTCTCATTTTGCTTTTTCCCAGCCCCTCTCCCCTTTGGCTTTGCTTTTAACCAATTCAGGAGCAGGAAGGAGAAACTGACACCCTAACAACTTTTACTTTCTTTAATTCAAAAGGGGCCTTTTGTTTTTGATGTAGGCGAGGGAGTGCAGGAGTTGTCGGAGGTGCCCACTGGTGACACACTGGGGACCCCTGCTCTAAAAGCAGATTAACACATCGGTGATCAGGGTCAAGGGCAGGCATTACAGGGCAGCTGTCAAGGGCTCACGCACCAGCAGGGGCTCCTCCCCTCCCCCCTTGCAACCTGTCTGTTCACCTGTCTTTTGCTCTGGCCCACTCTGTGGTGACGAGAAAGAGTAGCAGATGATGCCACTGCTTCCTTGCTCCCCGGCTTTCCGCCTGCCAAGCAACCAGTGAATGCAGAGATGGAATGGAGAAAGGGGATGCAGAGCTGGTGGCCATGGCAGGAAGAAGGCAGGCTTGTGGAGGGGCTCCCAAACCTGGAGCTTGAATTGCATATGAGTGGAACCCTGATCACTGCACATTTGGTGGCAAGGAATACCCAAAAGGAACAAGAAAGGATTGCTTGGGAATTCAGGTCCTAGGTAGACAGATGGGAGGGGGAGCCCTGGAATGATTTTGTCCCCATGTCAGTTTATACCTGCATTGGTGAAGCAAAGCGGTTTTAAACTCTGGCCTTAAAGCCTTTATGTGGCTTCAGGCAGTTGTGAGTCTTGCTTTGTTTATTTTAAAATGTTTTACAAGGTTCTCTCATTGTTACATTTTTACCTCTGCGGAGAATGTGATAAGCCAGGGCTGGGGAGGGGGCCGCTTCTTCCACTGAGAGATGCCCTGGAAATCTAACCCTAAAGCTGCCCCAATTACTCCACTGATGATCTACACTCAGGAAAAGATCAGGCTCCCCTTACTAGGTCAAGCCACAGAGCCGGGGTCAACGCATCTCAAAGCATAGAAGGATGTTCTGAAATACAGGGGGCAAAGACAAAACACAGTTGTAGTTTTGCACCAAAGATGCTTGATGCAGAAAAAAGAATGTGTATTTGCAATCATTGCAAGCTTTTTGTTGCAAAACAGCAGATGTGTGCATAGGCAGTGACCTACTTCATCAAGAACAGAACTGAAACTGAGAAAGGTAGACCGAAATCTTCGCTGAAAACTAACAGAGAGCAACACACTGTCAGATGCCTGCATTAAAAGTGATGGTAATAAGTCTATTGGTGCAATTGATAAAGCAGCAAAGGTCTTCTGGATGTTATGGAGATATTGAAACAGGGATGAGGATCCCATGATGCCAGCTTCTGCGCACGCTACGGCTGATAGGAGTCGCAATCCCACTACATCTGGAGCATCACGCATTCCTCGCAGGAAACCACCAGGCTTCCAGATTTCTGAGGATCCTTGTGCAGCTCCCCTCAGTGGTCCTCCTCCCTCCTTGCAGGTTGCAGTGGTGAAGAGGAGAAGTGCTTTAAGGGAGCTCCTGCCAGTGAACCTCTGCTGGGGCATCAGCTCTTGGCAGGGGACCGGCCATGCTCACTGCAGCTCTGCCAACACAGACACCAGTCAAGCTTCTAGGAAGGTAAGTAGGATACAAATGGGATGAATAAATGAAACCGTGCCAAGCATTATTATTACTCACATGGGTATCGAAAGTAGAAGTCATTCTCAGCATCACTTGTGATGTTCTTTTCGTGCTTCTCCTTCTCCCACCCGGCCACATCAGCTTCAGGGTTAAAGCGCACAAAGATGCCGAAAAGGATGACCATGGCCACCTCCCAAAGGAGGCAAACCAGAGGCAGGCGCCAGCGCATGTCAGTGTTCCTCGCCATCAGAGTGGTCCTCACCATTGGACTGTTGTCACTCGCCTACTGCCAGGTCAGTGGAGATAGCGGGAAGTGCAAAGTGGCAGTCCCGAGCGCTGAGGGCAGACGATGCATTTTATGCAGTCCTGGGAGGTGTGGGTGTGACGGTGCAGCTGTCAGTCATCCCAGCAGTCCAGGAACAGCAGAAACCAGGGACGTCTTTGGAGCTAGTTTCATTGACCTGCAAACACTCCTGTACCAGCTATGGAGAAAGAGGTGTGACAGATGCCTCAGACCTGCTTAAGAAGCTGAATGCGTTCCATGCACTCAGCATCACAGAGGGAAAGATTCTGCACTCAGCTTCCAGGCCCAACAGGTTCCACATTCTGGATCTCAGCATTTTGAGCCAGGCAAGAGTGAAGCCTGATAAGCCAGGAGGAGACTGAGATCTCTGGAGTATACAGTGGCTTATGTTGTGCTGGTCATGGGGCTTCTGCAGGGTCAGCGCTAAGAATTGTGCACTAATGTATCCACAGTGCTTATCTTGTAAATATTTGCATAGAAATGTCATGGGCTGTACCTCATTTATTTCATGCCCTTTTGGCCTCACTTTTTCTTTTCCCTTCTGCCCCTCCCTCTTCTTTGTACTGATACACATATCAGCCAACTGAGGATGCACTCTACCTATTTGATTAAGTGAGTGTGAATCCAAGAAAGACCATCCGCTGCAAGGAATCTGTTAATCTTTAAGGTGCCACAAGACTTCTGTTAGGTGTCTATGCATGTCAATCATCCCAAATTTTCTTGTTCACAATGCTGAACATGAAAATATTTTTTTAAAAATTGCATGTTCCTTGAACTCCCAAACTTTCTGTTCGAAAAATACATATTTGAAGGGAAATACACATTTTTGAAACAACACATTTTCTCACTTTAGTTGAGGCAAGAAAGTATGCACTTTGGGAAAATGTGCATTGAAACACATACCTCTCACATTCAACAAGCACAGCTTTCCAGACAAAAAAAATAAAATAAAATAAAGGAAGCTACACATGAGAACGGGGACAAGCTGAGTCAAGCTTCAGAGGGGAGAAGTTTGTTGAGCTTCAAAATCCCTGGTTCTTGCATCCTTCATCTGTGTGTGACAACTAAGAGTGACACGCATTTTGCAAGTTTCACTGTCCAAAATCTCATGGCTTTACAATGTACTCTGTAATCCTGTGAAAGCTTGACCATAAGGAAGGCTGAGTGCCAAAGGATTTAGGCCTTTGAACTGTGGTGCCTGAGAGTCCCTTGACCGCAAGGTGATCAAACCGGTCAGTCCTGGAGGAGAGCAACCCTGACTGCTCTTTAGAAGGCCAGATACTGAAGATGAAACTCAAGTACTTTGGCCACCTAATGAGAAGGAAGGACTCCCTGGAGAAGAGCCTAATGCTGGGAACAATTGATGGCAAAAGAAGGAGGGGACGGCAGAGGATGAAGTGGCTGGATGGAGTCACTGAGGCAGTCGGCGTGGGCTTAAGTGGACTCTGGGGGATGGTGGAGGACAGGAAGGCCTGCAGGAATGTTGTCCATGGGGTCGCGATGGGTCAGGCATGACTTTGAGACTAGCAACAACAACATTTGCTATTCCTTCTAGGGACACTGGCATAGTGGTAAATTTTGAAATGAAACTTCTCATTAACAATGCCTGTAGCTACATTCCCAAGGAAAGCCATAAATGCAGGCAGCTCTGTTGATCTATATCAAGAATCCAGTTCTAGCACTTTGTAATCCCTATCAAGAGCAGGTCTTTTTATTATTTATTTATTTATTTATTTATTTATTTAGAAAGCTTCTATGCCTCCCCATTCGCCGAAGCCTTGGGGCGGCTCACAAAAACGCTATAAGGCCCTGCTGAAATCTTTAATTCTAAGTGTATGTCTTTTACACCAGGCTTCAGTTTGTCAAGTCATGTGGTTCCAGCAAGGCTGAGGATGCTCACCCTGTTTTACATGACCTGCTGGTTTCTGTGGAGGCTGCAAGTAGCAGCAAGGAAGAAAATATTCTGTGTATGCTTAGATCAGGAGTGGAACCCCCTCACCCTTCGGTCCAAAGGCTAACTTCAGAGATACTCCTGGTCATCACCACCATTGCCACTTTTATTTTGTTTGTTAACATTTTGTCCATTGTGTCCATGACTGGAATGATCCAGGCAGCCTTTTAAATTGCCATTCATCTTGGCAGCCTTCAGGATCCTGGTGCCTCCAGGATCTCACTACTGGCTGTGCTGGCATTGGGCTGAGAGGAATCAGGAAAGGCAAGTGTAATTAACCAGTTGGCAAATCTCCGTATGTACCAAATTTTAAAGTGCTACTTTATTATTAGGGAAAATATTTCATTCCTATTTTTGCCGGATTCCCGGCCCCCATTACCCAACAGGCAGACAACCTGAGAGGATCCTAGACTTGCAAGCCAATCAAGAGTCTAGAGTGCAAAGTGTACACTGACGAAAGCAGGGACAAGGGGTGTGTGCCCAAAGTCGTGTCTGGTTAATTGTCCCCCAAAACAAGCATTATATGTCTACGTAAGCAATCAGGTCACCTAATACACATTTGATACATTGCTCCACTGCCTACTTCAAAGGGTCCTTTCTTCTCCTGTGTCTAACCCTTATCACCCTGTTATTTACACCAGCCTGGCCTAGTCTACTCCCTATGATTAACAAAGCATATTGCAACTTTCAGAGTGATGCTAAGCAGTTCTTGCTGGTTCTTTGAATGTTAGCTCGAGGCCATCACGAGATGTTGATTACACAAAGAGCATTGTTTTACTAATATCCCCCTTTCTGGAACCAGATGCCCAACCTGGCTCCTGCTATGGCTCCAGGGTGTTAAACTATGGTGGCCATTCGGACAAGGAAAAATCTAGCCAGTGGTGAGTTTCTGCATACTATACTGCCGTGTAGTCAAAGCACTCTGCATATATCACTTTCTCCGTCCCTCTGCACTGCCAATCTGCCTTTGCTATGAAAAATCAACTTGTTCCAGGGTAAGGAAGAGCTATGCAGGCAATTCTTGCTTCTTGTATGTGGCCTATGCATACAAGAAGGTTCCCATGCAAGTCCCAGCTTTGTGCACAAATTTGTGAGTTCTTCTGGGAGACCTGCAACATTTGTACCTGCTCTAGGTCCCATAAACCTTCTGGGCAGCTCTGCAGGCCAGCATGGAGCAGCTCTTAAAGTAGACTTGGGAAGCTGTTTTTGGGCGGAAGACTGGATGAAGCCCTCCATAGGCCAAATGATACTAGGGGCATCACTTTTCCCCTGCCGTGAGTCGGTAACGTGAAGGATAATAAGTGAAGTATGTATGGCTAGCACTTGCCAAAGGGAAATCCTCTCATTGTCTCCAATTTCAAAATGCTCATAACAGGGACATTCCTCTCCTTGTCCTCTTCCCAAATCCAAATCTTCTGGTATTGGCGTAGATTGAGGGGAACACATGGTCCCTGTAGAAGGATCTTACCCCAGACTCCACAGGTTTGACAGGGAGCCCCTGCAAGCTATAAACAGTCCATGGGCCAGAATTTCTTACATCAAAACAACAGGAACCATATGCAAAAAAGTGGCTGCCCTACATATTCTATTTATTTATTTATTTATTTATTTTTCGATTTATATCCTGCCTTTTTTCCTACAAAGGGCTCAAAGCAGCTTACATCATTCCCCTCCTCCATCTTATCCCCACAACAACAACCCTGTGAGGTAGGTTGGGCGGAAACTCTGTGAATGGCAGCGTGGTACGTTCAATTTCTCCAAGCATGTTCGCAAGAAACCAGCAGGACATCCTGTGCTAAAGAGCCTGCAGAAAGTGTTTTTTTCTGTGGGGCAGAAAAACTTACACAGCTCAGTGGTCAGGGCTTTATATTCCTGCTTAATATTCTGCTTCCCCTCCTAAGTGATGCAACCATGATAAGGAAGACGGGTCTTCTGCATCTGACACGGGATATATTTAATACGGGGAGAAGAGAGAATGGCACCCAGCAGGACTTGTGGCACACAGAAAAACTGTTCCGGTCAGCCCAGCGTCCTGGTGTTCTTCAAGCTTTCCCACGCTCTGTTGCTCTCATGCCAATTTGAGGGCTTGTACACTGAGAACCAGCTAATCTGCTTTCCAATCAGGAAAACTTTAGCCTCGGGAAGGCCAGAGCCCGACCCTCTCAGAAACATTTCAGGCCACTTTGCTGAATTTTCCGCTCTCCTATCTCCCCAGCACACCTTCAGGGATGAAGCCAGGCCCTATAGGTGGATACTGGCCCCATGAGGCCCCTGCTGCACCACCACATTTTGTGGCAGCAGGAAATATATATAATTTAAAGAGATGGTGCTTTTTACTACACACTGCAAAAAGCCTCATTTTAGCACTTCATAGCCACAATGGAATGCTAAAAAGTTAAAATGTAGCTTGCAAACCAGCTGCATTTAACCCATTCTGTGCTATGTAGTGACTTGGGACTGAATTTGCAAATTCCCTGCATTTTGTGATATGAGTCATGAAGTTGCCTTGTTTCTCTTCAGTGTGCCTATTGCTCACAGGAACACTTCTCTGTTGCTGCACTGAAGAATACAGCTGCCAGTTTGGTTGGCTTTTTCCATGGAATGTGGAGTACCTCGACCTTCCTCTCAGGCTGCAAAATGTCTTTAGACAGCCCTTGTGGAATTTAAGAAAACACACAAAGGGGAGGCAGCAGGCTTTTGTGCATTGCCGAAGAAGGCATCATTCATCAGAGAAGAAGGCAGGCAGGCAGGCAGGCAGGCAGGCAGGAAGGTGCAGATTTGCAGAGCAATTAAATATGCAGATTTAGTCCATAGATGATGATGATGTGTATTTAATACTACACATAGAACTGCAAGAAGATGATCTCACTCTGGTGTATGAGATGGTCACAAGGGGACTCGTGTGCCTGCCTGCCCAATGAAGGGTGGCTTCAGGGCCCCGGCATTCCTGGCGTCTTACAGTTTTGCATCCATAAACTGAACTTGGAACAGAGAGCCCTGCCAGCAGAGA